TTAACATTTTGTGTTTATTTGATTTATTCTGTACATACTTGTATTTGTTGTCTCCCCCCTTAAGATGTTAGCTTCTTGCAAGACTGAACTGTTACATTCATTGTACTTAAATCTTTAGTGCCTAACAAAATGCTTGGAATATAGCAGGTGGTTAATAAATACTTGTTGACTGATCAACATCTATACATAAATGTGCAGAGTATCACTCAATCAACCAACTATTTAGCACTTACCATCTGTCAGACATTATGCTAAGTGCTTGGAATACAAAGAAAAATAAAAAACAGTCCTGCCCTCTAAAGGAGAAGACAACATACATAAATCAGAATGTACAAAATAAATACAATGGATGTGGCAGATAGTCTTGGAGGAGCTGGTACTAGTAGTTGGGGAGACCAGAAAGGCCTCCTGGAGGAAATGGTGCTTGAACTGAGTCTTTTTTTTTTTTTTGGCTAGGCAATGGGGTTAAGTGACTTGCCCAGGGTCACACAGCTAGAACTGAGTCTTAAAGAAAGCCAGGGAGATTAAGAGTCAGAGGTTAGGAGGGAGAACATTCCAGGCATGTGGAATATCCAGTTTAAAGGCATATAGGCAAAGGTGGAGTGTCCTGTGTCGCTGAATCATAGAGTATTTAGAGGAGATTAGAATGTAAGAATATTGGAAAGGTAGGAAGAGGCCAGGTTGGGAAGAACTTTAAATGACAACCTCCTCCTGACTGCCTTTATGTTGGATCCTGGAGGTAAAAGGGATCCAATGAAATGTACTGAACAGAGGGTTGACATCAGGTCTACCCTTTAGGAACAAGAAAAGTTAACTAGAGATCCTAACACAAGGATGCAATTTTCACTTTATATGTATCAATGTGATTTAGTGGGATGAGACCCATAATGGTCATATGGCTTTGGAAGGTAGCAGCTTACTCAAAAGGAACAGAATAAGTAAAGGTAGGACCTGATTGGGGGTGGAAGAGAAATTATATTTCATATAAAGAAGACATGCTCAGATGAGGAAATTCAGGGCAAAAAAAACCATGTTTTATAGTATTTAGGTTAAAAAAAATCAACAAAGGAAGAAATAGAATATTGTCAACAGATTAAGCCAAAGCCAACCCAGACAGAAAGATGATGAACTTGGAAAATACATCATAAACTTAGAGTGGAAGCAAGATAAATGGATAGAAAGATAGATGGATAGAGAGATACAGAGACAGAGAGAATTTATTAAGCACCTACTATGAGCCAGGCACTGGACTAAGCTCTGAGGATACAAATACAAGGGAACAAGTCTGGTGCTGCTTTCAAGGACTTTATGCTCTACTGGAAGAAGACAACACATAAAGGGGTGCTTCCCAGGGTGGAGTCAGTACACAGTGCCACAGTGAGGAGGATGGTGTGGAGGCAGTAGGAGGTCTTGTTCTAAGGATGTTGAAGCAAAAGCTCATCTATCAGAGCTGGGAAACTAAGGGTTGGAATCCCAGGAAGGGAGGCAGTCAGGATGAGGGCAAGAGGAGTCAGAGAAATAAAGTTCAAGGCCAGAGTGCAGATGTACAGTAAGGAGATGGCAGGTGATATAGTAGAGATGGAGGACCTCACTTTTCTGGACATCTGCTAAAACAATCTCACTGTCCAAGGAAGAGCAACTGAAAATTCCCTGGCTTCCTTTAACGATAATACGATCTTTCAAAAGGTGGTGGAAGCAAGGAGAAAATTTTCTATTCTGTACCTGAGTCTCATCAACTAGGAGGAGTGGCTTACTATGATAGAAATAACTGAACTTTAGTTTGGAGTGACTATTATATCTTAGAATTTGTTCTAGAAAAGAGAAAGGTTGAGAATAGCCTGAAAATGCCATAAATTTGGGAAAGGCCAATTTCAAAGGATTCAGATAGGTAGGATTCATTGCCCCAAAATTCTGTAGGGGATATCAGCCCAGAAAGGATGGGAAGCTCTCCAGAATTAAATTTTAAAGGTATAAAAAGAAACTATTTCAATAAGGAGGAATAAGGATAGGAGCTGGCTAAAGAGATCAAGGTAGATGCACAGAAATTTATTTATGAACTTAAGAGTTAAAAAAATATGCAGAATATGGAAATTATAATCAAATCAATAGTACTTCTACTCTTTCCCCTGTGTATTCATTCATTCACTAAGAGCCAGTATAGCTTTATGAAGAAGAGATGATGACAATCTAATCTCATTTCCCTTTTTGACAGAGTTGTTAGTCTTGTAGTATTTTGGGGAGGTTAGAGATGGCATTCTGTAGATAGGTTTTACCTAAATTTTAATAAAATGTTTTATAAAATCTCACATGCTTCTGTGGGAGATTGAACAAGGGAATTTCCTGATCAATATGATGAACTTACAGGACAGCACCTTAGGAAGCAACTTAGTGCACGGATGTGGATGTGCTCACTGGTACTTTGGTGGGAGGACTAAAAACATCTAATTAAATCTCAGTAATTAAAGTTGTCCTCAGGATGAATTGATTGGCTCAGACTTTTGGAAGGACAGACTCTCATGGAAGAACCCGTTCTTTGTGATGAGTTATAAAGAAAGCCAACAGACTACTTTGGGACTTTTTCACTTTGTTTTTTTCAATCAGACTTTCTCCTAAAAGAAGCTGAGAGAACAACCACTGTAGGGTTTTCTTCCCTCTCCCTGCTAACTTGCTCTTTATCATGGCTCTGAAGCAGAAGCACATGTACTTACGCACTGACCCACATGGCCTGAAAAGGAATCTAATCCACTAGCATTTATTAAGCCTTACCATGTGTCAGCAATCATGCTCAGCAAAAAAACTTTCTCTATCCTCAAAGAGCTTACTTGATGAGAAAGACAAAACGTAAATAAATAGGTACCTTCAATATATACACAGAGAAAGTAGAAAGTAGGCTTAAAGAGTTACTACTAGAAGCTAAGGGAACCAAGAAATGCCTCCTGCAGAAGGTGGTGTTTGAGCTGAGTCTTAAGAACAAGATGAAGAAATATAGGTTGGTTAATATTCCATAAGTGGTATTTAGAATTTTTAAGTGTTCTAATCCAAAGAGTAGTTATTCAAAGGTTCCATGTCAACTTAGATAAAGGTCTCCAGTAGAGTTCCCCAGGTACCTGTGCTTGGCTTTATACCATTATCATTTTTATCAGTGACTCAGATTAAGGCATAAGAGTCATGCTTGTCAAATTTGCAGATGACACAAAACTAATTCTTTGGATGATAGTAAGAATTCAAAAAGGTCTTGGCAGAGTAGAACCTCAGGTCAAATGTAAAAAGATGAAATTTTACAGAGATTAATGTTAATTCTTACACTTGGGCTCAAAAAAAGTCAATTTCACAAATATAAAATGAGAGGGAGAGGGTCGTTGGCTAGACATCAATTCCTCTGAAAAGGATCTTGGAACTTTACCAGATTAAAGCTTAATATGAGTTCAAAGCGATATCATGGGCAAAAAAGCTAAGGTAATTTTATGTAGCATTAAGAGAATCATAGAACTTTATCTAAGAGATTGATATCAATGTAAAATAGCATAAACCCAAGCACAGATCCCTGATGCACTGCACTGGAGACCTCCTTTGAAGTTAACATTAAACCATTTGGGTCTAGTCATTATGGCAATTCCAAATCCATCTTATTGTACCTTTATCTATTGTACTTTTATCAACTGCTTTGCTAAAATTTTGGTAAACATCTGCAGAATTCCTCTAATCTACCAATTAAGTAACATGATCAATAATCAATGAAGAAAAAAAACTGGACTATTCTAAGACACCAGGCACAGAATGGCAGGCGCGCGGGGGCAGGGGGGGTATACTCACATCTATAAAACCACAGCCAGATCCATATATAAACATTTATATACTTATACTCTACAGGACTACATGACGCAGCATACACAGAGACAAAAATCTCTTTGCATTAGAGTAAGAGGCTCACTACGGTATAATGTCCAAAGTACGGGGTTAGGAATTGAGAGCTCTGTGGTTCTCATTTACTAGATCCATAATTTTGGGTTTCAAATCTCTGAGCCTCAATCTCTGCATCTATAAAATGGGGACACCTATCCTGACTACCATTTGTCATGAGAATCAAGTGATTTGAAAACTATAACATGTCAAAGAAATAGAAGATATTGTTATTATCTCCTTCCTCAAGTTTCTCATAGCAAGGTACCTGACTCTCTTTAGCCTCTAACATATATGCTTCCTTGTATCATCTAGTAGACTATGCCTTGCCTATACAATAGGTACTTCATAAAACATATTAAAACACCTCCCCAGTCCCTAGGCCTCCAAGTCTGCCCCCTTTTCCCAGCCTTCTAGGATTCTCAGGGGCTGTGGATCCCTTCACTTACAAGCCTGGAAAGAAACCCTTTTCTTCGAGAAGAGGAAGGGGAAGGGAAGAGAAGTTACATTCAAGGTAAGTGAGGGTGCTATCTTTTAGTCCCTGGGACATCTTGCTCCAGTTCAAGGTCCCAGATGTGATTTCAAAGTGCCTTCAAATTCATAACCCTCTTTAATCTTCACCTATCCCTAGTCCACAGATGAGGAAACTGAGGTTCAGAGGAGGGCAGCAGACCTTGATGCTATTTCTCAAGAACACAAAACTAGCCAGTGTCAAGGCAGGAACAAGAAACCAGGTCTCCAGACGTCGTCCAGTTCTCATCCCATGACCCAGGGCTGCTTCCCATAACTGGGACCACTCTGGGCTACCCAGGAACCTGCTTCGAGGAGAGGTGGAGCAAAGTGGGGCGGGGCTGAGAGGGATGAAGCTGAGACACCAGGCAAGGTCCCAGTACGAAGCTGAAACTAGTGATCCCTCGGATTGGGCAGTGCAGGGAGGCCCGACTGAGAACAGACACCCCGGGACAAGAGAAGCCTGGAGCAAAGGAGGCAAGAGAGGAGTCGCTTTCCGGCCCCGACCAGGAAAGGAGTGGAGGAGGGTCCCAGACTGGAGGCGCTGTTCACGCAGCCCAGACTATGGGTGTAAGACTCTGAGCCAGACAATGGGGCGGCCGCTGACTGTAGCGGGGCTGCCCGGGCTGCTACCCGTGCTGCTGCTACTGCTGTTGCCTCCGCCTACGAGAACGCGCTGTCCCGACTTCTGCAGCTGCGGCCCCGACGGCGCCCTGCGCTGCCCCGACGCGGGCCCCGGCTTCTCCAGGCTGTGAGTAACCTCAGCGGGCAGCTGTAAGGTGGGGAGGGAAAGGAAAGGAAAGGGGAGAGGAGGGATGAGGACGTGTCTCATGGTGGAGCTGCCTTGGTCCTTCTGTCCCCATTAGCTTCCCAGAAGTAAAGAACGAGCAGATTTGAGTTCAGAGGACCTGGCACTGACATTTACTCTCTGGGTGACTATGGGCAAGAAAGTCACTTACCCTCCTTGGACCTCAGTTTCCTCCTAGGTAAAATGAGAGCTAGATTAAGACTAGATGACCTTCTAGCTCTAATCCCTGCTTTACTCTGTACCACAACATTCTCCTCTTTGGGGAAGACTAAGACCATGGTAGGTTCCTTCCCAATCTGAGCGATGTGAAACCCTCCCAAATCATTTCACTCCTTTCGCTTGCTCAGGCTTTACCTTTTGAGGAGAGAATCTAGCTTCACCACAACCTCCTCCAACTTTGTGTGCCAGCATATCAGTTAATTGGGGTGGTCGTTGTAAGCACCAACTCAGCTGCACAGGACACTAGGTTCAAACCCTCCTTCTAGTAACTAGGTCCAACTAGCAACTAGGTCCAACTAGTAACTAGTAACTAGGTCCACCTAGGACCTAGGTGGAAAGGAAATATGGGAGGGGGGGCGATAGATAGACTGGGGAGGATATTATTGATTGAAAAAAGCAGAGAAGGTTGGCCACATTTACCGTCCACTTTCTCCAAGGCTAGATGTTGCCATAATCTGTTTGCCCTCAACTCCTTCCTGCTTCAATTCAAGCTCACCTTAATGCACCCTTTCCCCATGGGACCCCTTTCCTCAATGTCTTTGTGATTTCTTTTCCATCTCCTTATTCAAGCCTACTCTCTGAAAATTATTTTTGTAGCATTCATTCACCCTTTTAGAGTGGATTTAAGTCACTAGAAGGTAACTTTTCCCAGCGATATTTTATAGCTTAGCCTAACTATCAGCACAAAAAGAAAGGCTTTGTCCCTATTGAGGGAATTTTGGCATATGTGGAGAAATATTTTAGAGGAGTGGGGGCACAACTGTATTAAATGCAACACCAGATCTCTGCTCCATCCCCCCCCCAAAAAAGTGGGGGAAGGTGTGTATGTTTTAAGTTTAATTTTTAATAAATTGCATCCTCCTCAGATAGGGTAAGGGAGAAATACACTACCCAGTGAATGGCCTTTGGAAGACCTCCTCTTATCTCTTCCAGTTTATATATCATAGATATAATCTAAAGCTTGAAAAGGCCTCAGAAGTTACCTTGGTCAAGACAAACGTGGAAAAAAAAGAAATGCCTTCTTCAACATAGTTAATAAATGGTCATCCACCTTTGCTTAAAGAACCCTCCTCCTCCAGACAGCCCTTCCCACTCTGAGTTAATTCTAATTGTCTCAAAGACTTTTTCCTCCCAATCTCAAGCCTTTATCTGCCTGTTTGCAATTTTCAACCTTGGTGAGTAATGGTGCCCTCTAGGGCCAAACAAAACAAGTCTGATCCTTTTTTCCAGGTGACAACCCTTCAAATCCTTGAGGACTGCTAACATTTCTTCCCCCTAAGACTTCTCCAGGCTAAACATCTCTTGTTCTTTCAACTGATTCTCATATGGCATTAACTCAAGGCCCTTCAGCCTCCTATTTATGCCCACTCTGGACAATGTCCCACTTATCAATCAATTTGATTGATACAAGCATTTATAAAGTGACTACTATGTGTAGCAGGAACTGTGTCAGGAACTGACAACATAAAGACAAAAAATAAAATTAGTCTGAAGCCTAGAGGAATTTGCATTCATTGGGGGTGAGGGGGGTAAGAAGGAGAAAGAGAGAGAGAAAGAGAGAGAGAAAGAGAGAGAGAGAGAGAGAGAGAGAGAGAGAGAGAGAGAGAACGCACATATCTAGGGATAAGGCCTAGACCTCTGATTTTAACAGTATAGGAAACTCCGGGACAGAAAAACCTTTCTTGACCAGTGTACCTTTTCTGATGGGTCTTCTTAGAGAGCATTGCCTAAAGCACTAAGAGATTAAGTGACTTATCCAGGGTCACACAGCCACTCCATTTCAGAGGTGAGGCTTGTTACAAGGTCCTTCTGGCTGTCAGACCAGTTTTCTATCCTCTATACTACATTGACATTTATAAACTTACACATACATTCAAGTTAATTGATGGGAGACAGAGGGTGGCAAGGAAATACTTCACATAGGAGGTGGCATTTGAGCTGAGTTTTATCAATTTCCTTTGAAATCCTGCTTACTAGCTATAGGTGTGACCAGCTCCCTCAAATCCTTTAAAACTCCTTTTTCTCACCTGTAAAATTAAGCTAATAACACTTGGCCTTTTTGTGAATAAAGCCCTTTATAAACTTTAAAGTGATATAGGTATAGATATCTAGGTAAATCTATCAATATAGATAGGCATCTATATAGATTGATTGATCTATTTACAGGCAGGTTTCATCTGTATGGGAATTGGAGAGGCCCTAGGGCTGCCACTGGGGAAGCTAAATCCAGTGGGCATCAGGAGCAGGAATGCCGAATTTTGGGAAGGGATGGAAGCGCATGCAAAGTCTGCAGAAGATTTGGGGGTAGAGGTGGGGGTGGAGTGAAACCAGCCTACCCTTTCTCCTTTTAGCTGGGGCCTAGCTTTGCCCTTGGGAAGGACTTTTGGATGGTGATTGTTCCCATTCAGACTGTCCATCCTCTGTTCCAGTTCACTCCTTCCATGCTTCCAGGGGGTCATTCTTTCCCATTCTGTTACTAGTTCAGGAGTTCTGCTTTTTAATGTCCTGTGGACTCCATTTTCTCTGTGGCATCACTGGGGCTGCTGAATTTCCCACAGTGACAAAATGTACTGCAAAATCTATGACATAAATAAATGAACCACTTTTATTGTTATCCAAGTTCACAAAACAAGCAGCATGGCCCAGGTCTCCTGATTCCCAAACCAGGGTTTTTGCATTATACCCATTGCATTATTTGGGCAGAACAATTATTGGGTTGAAGGATATTGGGAGGGAGGAGGAAGTTCCCCAAGGAGGTATATGTTAGAGAGAAAATACAGTCAAATAACAATATCTCAATAAATCTTTAAGTGTCTTAATCACTTCAGACATGAGTAGAATCAAAGGACCCCAAAAGTTAACAACAATGGGGTGCTAAAAATGTGTTTAGATCAGAATTGCCTATCGTCACTGAGATAGTGATTACTGATTACAAATATTACTGATTACAAGTATTTTAAATAGTAGCTTTCAAGTCTTTGCTTCCCTTTTCATATTTTATTTAAGTTCTAGATATTTGAAATACAAAAAACAGAGTTTAGAGATTCCTCCAGTGTGATACCAAGAAATGGCTTCCCACATTCTAGTTCATTTTAATTAGGGGGGAAAAGGTGAACTTGTAGCTCATAAGAGGCTTGATTTTAAATTTTTCCTTCTTTTCTCATTAGTTCCAGGCAACTAGAGGGAAAGAAAAAAGCTCTCACCTTGCCCATAGTTATATAAAGATCTTTGTCTCTATGACAACAGAAAGGTTGATCTACTTGATATGGAAACAGCTTCTAAAATCTGTTAGTAGGAAAATGCTAATAATAATTATGGCACTTTATTCTTTGCGTGTTGTGCCTATTGAAAGATTAAACTCTTGACTTTATTGGAAGACAATATGATGAATTTTTAGATGGGTAAAAGGTTCCCTGTATGCATTGCTCCATTGTAATGGAATGATGTCAGCCTCCTGACATCATTACTGAATTCTTTTCTCTTCTTTTACCTTCAATTCATTTCATTAACTGAACACCTTCTCTGTACCTAGTCCTGTGCTGAGTACTATGGATAAAACCAAGTGGAGCTTATTTTGGACGCTATGGGAAAAAAAAAAAGGAAACTTACATTTTGGTTTGGGAGACTCATGGAACAATTGAAAAATAGTTACATAGAAAATGTGGTAGATTAGAGCCAGCCAGTCAGGAAGACCTTGCTGCCATTTTGGCCTCTGATATATATTGGCTATGTGACACTGAGCAAATCACTTAAACTTCAATGCCCCCAAGAAACTTGCTAGGACTATAATTTGCACAACGTTGCTAATCTGGCATCTAGTTGGCACAGATCACTGAGCTTGGAGGCAGGAAGTTCTGAGTTCAAGTTTAGCCCAAGACACTAGGCCTTGGGCTAGTCACTTAACCTCTGTTTAACTTAGTTTCCTCTGCTACAAAATGGGGATAATATTAGCACCTACCTCCCAAAGTTGTTATGAGGATCAAATGGGATATTTGTAAAGTGCTTAGCACAGTGCCTGGCACATAGTAGATGCTGTATCAGTGCTAGCTATTGTTATCCATCTGAACCCGTGGAGGGAGTATCCTCTCCAGGAATCTCCCTCATCAATGATGAAAGCACAAGTCTGAACCAAAAAAAAATAGTACAGAACCAAGATGGATGGGGCTAACGCTAAGTAACAAATGAATTTGGAGAAAGGAAATGTCAGATTGGGCTAGAGGAATCAGGGAAGGCTTCAAGGTAGGACATTTACCTGAAAAGGTGGGCAGGCTCCTTCAAGGCTGACGGGATGGAAGGGCATTTCAAGAGGTGGAACAGTAGGAGTTGTGGAGATGGGAATAAGGATGTCACATTCAGAGAGACCATCACAGCTGCTGCAGAGGGTGTCTATCACACAAGTATCTTGCATACCCATAGTAGGTGCTCAATAGTTATTAGGAGGAAAGAGGGAAAAGGGAGGCAAGTGGATTATATACAGGTTATTCTAGCACCCAAAAGCTGTTACTGCAAGCTTATGGTCAAAAAGCCTGAAGTAATTAATAACCCAGAGGAGTATACAAAAGAACGCCATAGCTGTAGTCTCTACCTAACAGAGGTTTTTGATAAAAGACAGAAGTACAGGTACCAGAGAATTATGGGAAGATGGCAGCATGTTAAGACCTAGAAAAGCACAGACCCCCAAAAAAATACTCTAATAAAGCTCCAAAGGTGGGCAGCTATGTGGC